TTCAGCAAGGAGTCTCCCTAAGAGCAGGACTCTTGTAATCTCCTATTTAAGGAGCCACTATTATTGAATAAAGGCATCAAAAAATTCAGTCAAAGAGAAGAGTAAAGGAGAGTTAGGGTGATCTCTTGGACAAATCACCCCTTAGGTCGCCACGATAGGGTCAGCACGCAAAGGGAGGGGCAAGGGAAAACTAGAGGTTCTCCCCGTGGTCCGACCCGTGACGAGATCCTATGCCCGGGCCCATAACACTCATTGTAATCAATTTGGATTTTGGATTTCATAAGAAAGAATCTCTTTCTTATGTTGGTTTCTCCTACGACCAAACAAGAATTTTCATGACAACTTTTCCCAAGCTCCAACTTACTTTAACTCATTGTCTCATTTGGGCTGAATCCTGGCTTCAATTTGTTGGTTTGAGAGGAAAATCAATGTTTTCAACCTGCTGTTGACTCAGCTGGTTGAACCATTTGAACCATCACCCGGCCATGATTTTGTGTCTAGTTCTCCTAAAACCCAGGAATTGGTCAAATACCATCTGACTTGGGCGGTTGAATCATTGACCCATTTGACCTGGTGACTGGGTCATGGGTTACACACTAAATGTGTATGCAAACTTCTGGAGGCCATAATTTTGTGCTTTGATGTCTGATTGGGGTGATCTTTTCTGTTTTGACTGTTGGCAACTTTTTGAGATCCGTCTCCCAAGGCACCAAACCTTGCTATTTTCGCGAAAAAACCCCTTTTTGGCCTCATAATGCAATTTTAGCATTTTTTACATATACAAAATTAATAAATGAATTAAAAAATATAAAATAAATATAATACTTATATTATGTGTATAATATAATTGTACATTTTTATTGATAATCTATCTATGGTGATTATCTATACATTATTTTTTACATATACATTATTTATTGATAGTATAATATAAAATAATACTTGTATATATATATATATGTTGATGATGTGGTACGGTGTGACTCGTTCAACCCTGGCAATCGAATTGGTGACCCATGACCTGGAGTAAAAAATGGTTTGGCCTCTAGGTTGGTTTTTAGAAAGGCATATTGGTACAAGGTGGAGGGAATTAGGAAGGTGAGGGGGGGGGGGGAAGGAACACAAGGCTTTATGTCTATTGGTAAGAATGATTTTTTTTAATCTTTTTTTCTTTCTTTTCTTTTTTTTTATAACAATTTAATAAAATCTATACTACTATTAAAAGTGTGAATGGGAGTGTGTTACTTTTGTTTGACTAAAATACCCCAATTTTTGAATTTGGTCCCTCTCTAATTGTGAGGACAGAAATGCAATTTGAACAACCACTTTTCTCTTCATTCTATCCCTCTCATTAAGTCTTATATTTAAAGTATTAACTCCCATTAACATTTATTGAATCCTATTCTTGACTAGAATACCCCTATTTTGAATTCTTTTGGTAGTAAAAAGTCAAAAAGGGATTTCATTAAACTTCAACGGAAAACAAAAGACGATTTTCAGTTTCTAACAGCGGCTTTAGAACCCTGTGATTACAATCACTTATTTGAAAAGAGAGGACCGAAGACAAAGCCCAATTCGCCAAGCTATGAGCCACACCATTGATTAATTGTTGAGAAAATTGGAACTTAACCGAGAAGAAGTCACACATCGAAAGATCAATGTCAAGCAACATCCCAAATAGAGGGTCACAATGATTGCGGTCATGGCTTGAGATCTTGGAGATCACCTAGAGTGCATCCAACTCAACACCAGGTTAGCGATATTCATCCTCTTTTCTTCCAACAGATCATAATGGCCAAAAGGCTTCAGCCATACCAACTGAGAAGGCAACAGCCCAAACCAGCTCACATCCTAAATCATGATGACAAATGCCAAGCCCTGCCTTTAAAGACCCAGGCTTGACTGTAGCATCACAATTGACCTTAACCTATCCAGTATCCAGAGGGCTCCGTTTGGGCATAGAATGCGTAGATGGAGGATCATGGTCAACACCATCCTTGGTGAATTCAAACAGCAGATTGAGATTCTACTACACAACCTAGTCCCGCTGTCTTTCAACATCCAAAAGAGATGATCGTTCCATGATTTCCAGATGAACTAGTAAACTAAAGCTTTAAAGACTCTACCGTCTCCTTTCTTCCCCAATCAATGAAAGCACTTGACTCAACAACCAAGCTTCTGTCCTCTCTAATTGTGAGGTCACAAAATGTAATTTGAACTACTACATTTCTCCTCATTCAATTCCCTCTCATTTAAGTCTTATATTAGGGTACTAACTCCTATTCTTTTATTGAATCCTATATTAATTAACCATTTAAAAAAAATAAGTGTGACAAAGAATAATTGTTTTTATTGATGATAGAAATAGAATACAAATTTAAAACCAACCAAAAAATAAAGTTGCTTTTCTATTTGGTGGTGAGCCAACAATTCAACCTTTTGGGTCAAAATGTGTCAACCCTTGATGTCATAGCTAAATAATAATAAAAATTTAAAAAGATGAAACACACAAAAGTATAAAAAATACAAAAAGTTTTGTATAAAACACATGGGCACTTCTCTAATATCATATATTCATCATATTTAACAAAAATAAGTGTGACAAACAAAAATAATTTTTAGACAGAAATATAAAATAATTGTAAAAAAAAATGGAAACATATTATTTGCTATCACCACCACCATCATCATCATCAAAAATTTCCACATGCAAAGCACATGCACCCTTACTAGTAAGAAGAAAAGATGGTATATGAGGATGTTCAGATGGACAAGTGGCCAGATTAGGAAGGATAGAACCAGGAAAGTGCATTGTGGGAACTTTGGGAAGTCCTAGTTGGTAACAAGACAGTAGGGAGAAGTCTAAGATAGTCCAATCATGTGTATATAAGTCTATGGTGAGGGGCAATCTAATGCAAATTCAGGACTGAAAAGAGGTGGAGGTAGGACAAAAGGAACTTGGGACGAAGTAATTAGAAATGAACTGAGGGATCACAGTTTACCTGGACTTGTGATCCTGGTAAAGTGCTATGACGAGTGGAGCAAGAAGAAAATGAGACTCAAGTAGAACTTCAAACCAAAGAAGATCATAACCCACAAAATATCCCAGCATAAAATTTCCTCTCAACATATCGCTACCATGAAAGCAGACACAACCGACCATCAGCCCAAAACATACAGACGAAAACCCCACACCACCACATTCATGATGGCTAAAAATTGGGAGCCCGACTTGACAACAAGGACCAACTGAAACCAGACTATCTCCCCAAAACAACACAGAATAAAAGCCACCACTCACAAGAAAAACTTCAAAAGATGAAAACCCAGCTCATCTCTCAATCATAGACCCGGACAAAAGAACACCAACCAATTGATCATATTACATCTTGATTCTTTTCATGCCTCTCTTTGATTCCATTCAAAGAAAGGAAAAAAAATCCTTTTGTACTTTATAAACTGTCCTCTGTCCATCTGTTCCTCCCCTTCCAAATCAGATGAGCCCTCTCTTCAAGTCTTGAAAAAGGCCTTTGCATGGTTCATCCTTCCATATAAGATTTTTGACTCTCTACTGAGTCCTTGCATGACATGTATGTATAAAGGCAGCATCAGTAAAAAATGTTGGGTGCTGCAAGCAAGCAGAAATAGCAAGTTCAAGAACCCACTAGGGTACTACAACTAAGCAGTGGCCCCAAAAACAGAGTGCTAGTACCAATGTGTGTGTGTGGGGGGGGGGGGGTAGCATTGGAAGTATAATTCAACAGTTCAGTGCAGACTGATGTCTTTGTGGCTGGCATTATAGTTATTTCCCCATCAAGATAATTTCAGGGGCATGTTTAGTTCTGTGCATGAATAATTAACAATTTTGCTGATTTCTGTTAAGTATTATCACCACTTATTTCTCAATCTGATCCTCCTTTATAGTCATTTCCCCATCTAGAGAATTTCAGGAGCATTTTTAGTTCTGTGCATGAACAATCAACAATGTTGTTCAGCATGAGTCTGTTGATTTCTGTTGAGTATTATCATCACTTGTTCCTCAATCTGATCCTCCTTTGTAATGTGTTAAAGAAAGATCTGCTGGCTGTTAAATGGATCTCCTATTAATCTAATATTCTTTACCTAGAATCATGATTCCTGACTCATGATAGCAATCTTATTTAATTCTTTACCCATAGATATCGCTAAGTGAGAACGTTCCTCACATCTGACATAAAGCAGGACTCGTTATAATCTCAAACTTGTTTTTCATAGTTTCCCTAGCAAACCAAGTATAACAACTTGGTTTTAATGCAATGTTTTGACAATACTGCTTGTTTCCTCATTCCTTGGTATAATGGTAAAATCTTGGGCTGACAAGCATGGGAACACAGGTTTGAGTCTGAGAGCAGCCACTTTGTGCAATTGGGCAAAGGTTAGAACTGTATCCAGTTAACCACTTCCAAGACTAGCCTTTTTATTTGCTAGTTTTCTCATTATCATTTTATGACTAGTTACCCTTTATTGAAGAAAAATATTTGTATCCAGAGTTATCATGTAAAAATAAAGAGGTATTAAGTAGGGAATGCTGTGAATTGATTTAGCTGTTTGATGTGGGATAGATATATCTGGAAAGTTTCTGGGTTGAATTTTTAGTGATGATCTTTCTTCAATGTATTGATGGCATCTCTGGTAATTGTGGTTCAAAATGGAAATTGCCATTCATGATAGAAGGCCACAATTAAAGTGGTGGGGCTATAGCAGGAAACCAAGAGAGAAAAGGAAGGGAAAAAAAAAACAAAACTGATACTGGAGGGTCCAGTAAATTTTACTTTAAATTGGAAGATATTATTGGCATTTTGTATACAAGAGGAGGTGGTTGTTGGTTAGCTCTCTTCTTAAATTAAAGATGGTGTTTTCAACCCATTGTTGACATGGTTGGTTGGACCATTTGGCGCATCATCCAGTCATGATTCTGGTTTGATTAACCCTAAACCTGCCCTTACTTAAAGAACTGTTGACTTGGTCAGTGATCTGCTGACCTGGGAGGTTAAACCGTCAACCCACTGACCGGTCACAGGTTACAAATTATTACATATGTTTTTTTTCTCTTAATTTTTAAGTTCAATTTTTTTGAATATCATCTATATCCATGTATGTGTGGGCATCCGTAAAATTATGTATCTATATGAATGCATTATTTTCTGCTGAGCCACTGACCCACCACCTGGAGGGAAAAACAGTTTTTAAAACACTGCCTAAGGGTGAATATTATTAAAAATCCTGCCTTTTAGAGTGAAATTGATAAAAGACTAGATCTAAAGGCAGAATGTTTAGCATACTCTTTTATAATAACTTTCCCAAAAACAAATAGTTTAATATAAATAGAAAGATGGGTGATTTTGCACATCAACCAATATCGCAAATTTCTCCCTTTTCTTAAGTAACAATGACTAATTTTGCATCAATTAATGGTGGGTGATAAATTTATAATATGAAGTTGTCCTTGCATGGAGCTTACCCTTGATTTCTTTTTATTATGTCAGAGTACACCTGAAGGCTCTTCATACTCAAATTTGATTTCTCACTTTGTTGGAATGGGCTTCCAGAAAAACATGGTGGCTAAAGCAATTGAGGAAAATGGTTTGTATAGACATTTATTATCAGAAGTAGTAGAGCCTTCAGCTTAATAGGTTGCTCAGAACCTCGTTATGTTGCATATAGGGGAGAGAAATGCAGAAGCAATTCTTGAAACACTCCTTACACACTCGGTAAGCTGATACATCTTCAGTTTCCATTTGTTATGTGCACCATGTCTGGTCAATTTTATTTATACCCTTTTGTTGAGGCGGATCCATTTGATTCACAATTCTCATTATCCTAGAGAACTTTGCTGAATAAGAATCTTTCCAACTTTCATTTCATCCATAGATGTCAAGGTTCTAAGGCAAAGCCAGGTGTTAATGGAGAAGGGGGAGAGAGAGAGAGAATGAAGTCTACCTTCTTCTTCTTCTTTCTCAGCCACCACTGCCACCACCAACTCCTCTTCCTCCTCTTCCTAAGCTGCAGTTAACTGGTATCACCAACACCAATTCCTCCTTTCTCAGCTGCTGCCACTGCTGCCACCACCACCTCATCCTCTTCTTCTTTCTCAGCCACCACGGCTGCAGCTGCCACTGCCACCACCAACTCCTCTTCCTCTTATTCTTTTTCTTTTTAGCCACCTCTTCTCTCTCTCTCTCTCTCTCTCACACACACACACACACACACACACACACACACCCACACACCCACACCCACACACCTTACATTATGGTTTATATGTATTGTAATGATCAGAGGGGTGTCTTGTTCGAACTGGATGGTTGAACTGTTGACCCATCACCTGGAGGGAGAAACAGGTCAGTTTTTAAAATATTGCTTCAAATTGGTGATGTGGATATAGTCAATACACCATGTGCTTATGCCAACTTCATAGCATTAGGTCCAGGCATTTTTTAGCTGGATATGTTAAGGCAACAATTTAAGTGCAGCATTTTATACTTTATATGTGTAAGAAATGGACTTACTCCCATACTGAAATGTCAGGGTAACATAGATCTAGGTAAGAGGCAGCAAGAACCGAAACCCTATATATCAAACCATAACATCTAAGAACATGTTGATAAAAGCCATATTATGTTAGGCTCATGCCAAGTTGTAGGTGGTGTGCATGCATCATATCATGTTTATTTGCCCTACTTTAATTTCAGTAATTCAACAAAGCTTTCTTGGATATACTTCCTATGCAATAATTTCTTGGCATTAACGTTTTCTTCTTTGACTCCTATAGGTTCTTGAGAAATCCCCTCCAGACTACGAAATTATTCCATCAGACACAAGTTATTTAGAAAGGAAACAAGATACTCTTGATGAATACTCCAATATAGACAGCAGTCCTGGAAACGAGGTAATTCATTTTATTGGTTGCTATTACTGTATTCATATCCATGGATACGGGATACGCCACAACTGGGTATGTATCCCATGAATCGTGCATATCAGCACAATACACCTTTATAGCAGGCCGTATCAAACTGTATTGGTGGATACAGTCCGATATGCATCGATACGGAAGTGTATTGGTGCCTAGTTTTTGGTATTGTTGATCACAATATTTCTCTTCATATAACCTATTAAAGTGTGAGTTTCTCATGTGTTTATACCTTAGTCACAGATAATTCAGCTCTAGATTAGTGTTATTAATGTATTTATGGGATTTGCATGCATTTCCTAGCGTATCCAAGTGTTTCGATATCTTTCGTCTGTATCCATGCGTTTTGATTTCTTTCATCTGTATCAATGCGTTTCCACAGCATACCTGTATCTGTATCTGAGCTGTCTGATACGATACCCGATGCATCCAATTGAATTCGAATTTTAATTGACCTCCCATGCATTCAATTGGATTTTGGATTGAATTTGGATGGAGGACTTTCAATATCAAATTGAACTTGGATTTATATACATCTGATCTGAGTCCGATCCAATTATGGGCCTACTTTTATTGCATGTGTTGAATGCATTAAATCTTACTTGTCTATGACAATCTTATCGTCCCATGGACCATGGTCAGCTCTTGATCAACCATGAGATGCATTCATTTTCCTCTAACCAAACCTGCGATGCCTAAATGTTTGAAATGTCAGTGTCAGTGAAAATGTTGGTCGTGCAAATATGGGCAACATGTTGGAAATGTTGTAAAAATTATAGACATGGCGGAAACATTGTGAAATGTGAGAAAATATACAATGATGTTTAATGAAATGATAGAATCATAGATAATAGAGTAAGTTATCTTTTATACTTTTAAGTTAAAAACTACATGATAGATTAAGTTCAAGCAAAAGTTGAATTCTCAGAATGTGCTAATGGTTCCAATAGATCAACCAAATAGTTTTTTTTTAATTGATAGATCAACCAAATAGTTAAAAAAAAGGTTTATTACATAAACAAAAACTAGATTTAACGTCACATTCAAAAAGAATTTTGAGCTGCCACTTATCAAAAAAAAAAAAAAAAAGAATTTTGAGCTGTCTCAAAGTAGTCATCATCTCTATTAGGTAGGTAATAATACTATTGCTCCACATATTTGCAATATGGTTGCCAACTCATCATGTTACAATACCATCTTGTATATTCCCCATAATGCTGGTAGCATTCATTGGGGAATATGTTTTGTCCAGTAATATTTCATGCAAGTATCCATGGAGATGGACATATTGGAAAATATGTTGATATTTTAAACCATGGATATGCCTCCATAACCATTCCTAATTGGTTATGGAGAGAGAGAGGTTTAAATTTGAAATGGGGATGTTGCTAGGCAATTATATGAATAAGAAAACTAGTATCCTATCCCCCCAGATTGAGAATCTGGATCATTTAGAGGCTGGGGGATAGAAGGTGGCAACTGGAATAGGTTATAACTTGATTCTGGCTTGAAGTTGAATTGGTAATGTTGCTAGGCAATTATATTAATAGGAAAAGTACTATCCTATCCCAGGTTGAGAATCTTGGAGGCTGTGAAGACTATGACTAATGCAGAGAGGGAAAGAAGGCGACAACTAGAATAGGTTATGATTTGATTCTGTAAAAGAGAGAATCTATTGGAGACAAATAAATATGCAAGTGGGTTACTGAGAGTGTTGTTAATCCTATGTACTTACATTCTTTGTCTGATGGTAATGTTAAGGAAATCTATGTGTGTATGTTCTGTAGAAATCAATCAGTCAAAATTTCAGTTCCAACTATCTTGGAACCAAAAGTCAGAAGTATGATAGGCATGATATTTATGATTCAATTTGGAATTTTGACTCCAAATTTGAGATATTGGCTTATGATCTCTTTGTTTTGAGCGAATGGAGGTTGACTGGTGGAAGGAGGTTACAAGATAATCAAATAGATGTCAGGTGGTTCAAATTGGCCATGACCTTTTGTTACATTCAATCAGGGAGGTGAGAGCTTTGGTTTCCAGATTGCATATCTTGTCAGAAGAATCCTAAGGTCTGCTAATTTTTGGCCTCAGGAGGCCTTGGTCCTTGGTCCTTGTTGTGGGGTTGGTCTTGTACTTCTGCTTGTTTTCTGTCTCATTTTCTATTTTGATTCTTAATAAATTTTTTGTAATCAATAAAAAAGATGCAGTCATGCTTACTGTTGCAGAGACAGGTATGGATCCATTTGGCATATTCTGAACCTTTTGGGTAATATCATCAATCCTATCATTAAACAAGTCAAGAAACTCATAAGAATGGAAAATGAAACAACAAAGAAATAATGTGAATAATTGGAAAATCTGGACCAGGAAAATATCTCCATCAAATAGATAGTATAAATTTAACCATTAATGGTTCCACAAAGGAGCAGGGTCTAGAGCTTAGAAAATTCAGAGGTTTAAAAGTAACAGAAAAGCTTATACATGTTAGTTGGATGTTAGATCTACGATTATATTGTTCATGGATCAGTGGGTACAAAATTGTGCTTCAGCATATATGCAGAAGGTTGAGCATATATTCTGTCTTTTTCTTCTCCTTCTGTAGCTCTCTCAGCTTTGCAGCCATTATTGAGTATCAGCACTATTTAATATCTTGCGTGTGAGTGTTATGTTTGTTTTTGCAAGAAGCTTAGTTCTTTATGTAAGTTAACCAATTTGGTTTTTCTCCCAGGAAAGAACTGATAAATCATCTGACAATGAGAAGAAATTGCTGTTCTTAGTTGAGATGGGCTTTTCATTGGATGAGGCTTCATCTGCTATGGCTAATTGTGGTCTGTATCTAGCAGTGAAATTGATTTTATTACATCTTTGTGATTGTTAGATATTAGACATGAAACCATTAACAGATTCATCACAGTACCAAAAAAATTTCTAGTTGTTGGGAACCGGTTGGTAGCAGCATATCCTGTTAATGATACTAAAGATCTTTCCTGTACAACTGGAACACATTCTAATCAATCCAGACTGTTTAATCTGGAACAGTGATTTAAAAGGCGTGCCTAGGCGCTTAGGCAAGGACGCAAAGCACATTTTAAGGTATGTGCCTTGCCTAGGTCCTACGAGCAGCAGTTTCAAAAGGCATGCGCCTGGTGTGTAGGGGTGGCAACGAGCCGAGCTTTTCATGAGCTGTTCGAGCTCGGCTCGGTTTCAACGGAGCTCGAGCTCGAGCTCAAGCCCAATTCAGTGGCTCGATTATTAAGSGAGCCGAGCTTGAGCCTACTAGAGCTCGGCTCGTGAGGGTCGCGAGCCGGCTCAAATATATATATATATATATATATATATAATATATATAATACATAATTATTATAATTCTTAATTTTTTAAATATAAAATAATTTTTTTATATATAATTTTTGTTCTTATAAAATATTTTTTCTCAAAATCGAGCTTGAGCCGAGCCGAGCTCGAACTTGGTACTATTTGGGTCGGCTCAGCTCGAATCCACCCCTACTAGTGTGCCTTGCGCTTCAGCCCAAGCATGTGCCTTTTGTTCATTTTTGAACACTGAAGCTCCGAGAATCCCCTATTTGATAATGTTGTTCATTCATTCATCCTAGTAAAATATCTTCTTAAAAGACAATTAATATTAGAAAATCATTTGTTTTTGTGTAAGGATTAAAAGTTTAAGACCCTAACATGGATTTGTTTGGGCTTGCCTCGAGGGGCTTGGTACAAAGGCAGCTCGTGGAATTAGGAATGCAAGATGTTTTACATCAAATTAGCTATTTATTTTTGTGTAAGGATTAAAAATTTAAGACCCTAACATGGATTTGTTTGGGCTTGCCTCGAGGGGCTTGGTACAAAGGCAGCACGTAAAATCAGGAATGCAAGATGTTTTACATCACATTAGCTATTTGAAGTAATGCAATTGAGGAAAAAAAAAGAGGTAGGTTTTACATGCTTGAAAATGTTTTATATGTTTGATTTTATTCTTAAATTTTCATTTGAATGTGTTTTACACGTTATGTTTATGTATTTTAATTTTAGATAATAGGTTTTTAAAACATTTATTTTAAAATTTAAGTTTATATTTTTTATTAATATTATGTTTAATATTTTTATTTTTTGGCATTTTATTTGAACTTTATGACATTTTTTCCTTTTTTTTGTCATTTTTGTATTTTTGTGCCTTGCTTCAAAAAGGTGTGCCCCTTGCCTTGCACCTTGGGCACAAATTGCCCCTTGCGCTTTTTTTTTTTTTTTGCGCCTTGTGCTTTTAAAACACTGATATGAAATTCATAATGCATCTAAAGAAATTCTTTTCAATGGTGGGAATGATGACATGAGATTTTCATTTGCTGCTTTGAAACAAGTTTTCCTTGTTTTAAAACTGCCCAAGGTCAATAATAAATTAAAAAGAAGTATCACCCAATTTGGTTGAAGAATCACCTAAATGGTTGCTTTGCTTTGAACAAAATGGCCCAGCTTGTAAGTTCAGGTTTAACCATGTTTCATTTTAGTGAAACATATTTATTCCTGCTTTAATGCTTCTCACCAGAATTTTCTTTTTGTCTTGAATAGTCTGCACGATCAATATAGTGTAAATCATGGCTGCAAATGTATATCATATGCTCCACTCAGCAAAGCCTTGTTTCTGTGTTATGCTCCACTCAGCAAAGCCTTATCTTGACTACCTGAGCTTGCTTTCACAGTTCTACCCTATCAAAGGTTTTATTGCTAGTGTCTTGGTTCAAAATATTTGCAGGTCCAGGTACATCAATTGTGGAGTTGATGGACTTTATATATTCTGGACGAATGGAGAAGACAGCTAGTAGTTCACTGAGCACACCACAACCAACTTCAGATGAAGATGAGGTGCTCCCTTTCCCATCTTTTCGCGCATGGGATATGATATTCAATGCTTTATAGATAGGTTGTGATGTTGCTACCTTTTACTGCTGCTTTTGATCACTAGAAACCTTTTTGACCCACAATTGCTTCTGTTGTTTTATATCAAGTAGATTATTTTCTTACTTGTTTGATGTCTCATCTTTTTAATAGCTTGGCCCCAATCACTCCCACAGTGGTCCTGCAGATAAAAAGAGAAAGTGCTTTGAACACGAGGACAGGTGGAAAAGAAAATATGATTCATGGCGAATGAATCAAAAAGAATCAAGGAAGAAACAAAAGAAACTTTTTGAAAATGAAGATGATGAGACAGTTCATACATCAAAACACATGGTAGGATTTGGAGTCCCTAATGGACCTAAGCCCATATTCCAGGATAGAACAATTCCCCCAGCAGCTGTTGGGCGTCCCTACTTCTACTATGAAAATGTGGCTATTGCTCCTAAAGGGGTATGGAGTACCATCTCCCGCTTCTTATATGATATCGAGCCCGAGTTTGTGGACTCCATGTATTTCTGTGCAGCTGCAAGGAAAAGAGGTTATATTCATAATCTCCCAATCCATGGTAGATTTCCTCTCCAACCAATTCCACCACTTGCAATCCAAGAAGCATTTCCTTTGTCCAAGAAATGGTGGCCGTCTTGGGACAAAAGAACAAAACTCAACTGTCTCAACACTTGCACAGCCAGTGCAAAATTGACAGAGAGGATTCGGTGTGCCCTTGAAATGTGGGATGAGGAGCCGCCTCTAAAGACTCAAAAATATGTTCTTTATGAATGTAAAAAATGGAATTTAGTTTGGGTTGGCAGAAATAAGGCTGCTCCACTTGAGCCTGATGAAATAGAGATGTTGCTAGGGTACCCAAAGAACCATACTAGGGGAGGTGGAACCAGTAGGACGGAGAGATTTAGGGCACTTGGTAATTCATTTCAGGTCTGCGTTCCTGCAACGTCTACTCATGTCCTCTTTTGTTTGCTCAAATAAATTCTGAATTTCCATTAACAACTAAATGGATTCCAGGTTGACACTGTGGCCTTCCATCTCTCGGTTTTGAAGAATATGTTCCCAAATGGCATTTCAGTACTTTCTCTCTTCTCTGGTATTGGGGGTGCTGAAGTTGCTCTGCATCGACTGGGTATTCCCTTGAAAAATGTAGTTTCCATAGAGATTTCAGAAATTAACAGAAATATCCTTCGAAGCTGGTGGGATCAGACAAACCAGAAAGGAAATCTGATCCACATTGCCGATGTTCAGCGGCTGACGATTCATAAGTTGGAACAGTTTATTAACTCATTTGGTGGATTTGATCTTATTATTGGTGGGAGCCCGTGTAATAATCTTACAGGCAGCAACAGAGTAAGCAGGCATGGACTTGACGGAAAAGACTCAGGTCTGTTCTATGACTACTTTCGCATTCTAGATATTGTCAAGACAATTATGATAGGGTAAAAATTCATGATTCTGCAAGGACAAAAAATCTGAAAGGGCAACAACCAACAATGCTATGCTACAAAATGTTAGAATTTGTTTTTTGTTTTTTTCTGTTGTTCCAGACCTCTTTCTGGACTTGCTATGACATTTAGAAATAGTATGTATGGATCTGCATGGTAACATGTCCAGTGAACCTATATTATAAACATTACCTTGTTTGCTACTTGGTTTGGTTTGTTTTATATGATTCGCCGATCGAACCCAGATTTCCTACTCACTCTCCACCCGCCGTGAATTGCAGCCACATATCAAAATTCTTTCTTTTGACACATGTCCTGGTTCTAATATTTACGGTTTGAACAGGGGCCTTTTATTGGAAGGACCTTTTTTTCTTCCGAATTTACAGAAGAAATCCTCAAGCCGATTAAAGTTTGGATGATAATATGGCATGGGCTTATTGGAATGTATATTACAAAACTTGTTACAGGTTATATGATTCGAAAAAGGAATAACTAACAGCCCGCTAAATGATTCGAAATCACAAACAAAACATGGGAATAGTGTTTAGATATACTAACACGGCTAGACGGGCGAATGGGAAGAAAAACAAGAGAAAAAACGTACCTGCAGAGAGATCGACCACCACGGTGTCAGATGTCATATTCTGTTGGGCGAAAGGTTGAGGAAGACAAATCAACTGGAAGAAGGGACGGAAAACTATGAATGAGAGAGGGTTATCGAGTATGGCCATGTTTTTGTGCGGTTTAACTGTAATATATTCCTAATGAGATGTTCTCCATATGTGGCTGCGATGTTATGTGGGTAGACGTTGGAGTCTGTGTTGGCAGGAGGTCTGGACTCAAACTTTTCGCTTTTAAATTGGAAAAATTTCACTTTGGTACTTTGAAATTTGGGATAATGTTATCCGGTCTTTTATATGTCTTCTTTTGAAGGGTAGTTTTGACATTTTCAGTAGATAACTGACGGTCGATTAATGACAGGGACCAACTTGACATTTTATGAAAATTTAGTTACTACATTGACACATTTGCAAGTTTGGGTACTAATTTGACACTACCCCCAAAGTTCATTTTGGTATTGATTATTCACCTTTTGCCCTTATAGGGGCTGTAATTTAATTTTCATGGCATAGTATCACAAACCAAGGTTTTAAAAACCAATCTGGAAAGGAAACAGAACCGTTTTAGTTACCGGTTTCCAGGTCAGCGGTTCGACTGTCCGGGTTGAACAGTTTGCATTAGGGCAAATATTTATATGAGATTTGAGAAAAGAGAATTGGAGAAGAGATGTTGTTGGCTGAGAAAGAAGAAAAGGAAAAAACGAAAGAAAGGAAGGAAAAAGCAAAAAAAAGAAAAGAAGAGAAAAGAAAGGAGGAAAGGAGGGAAGAAGAGAGAAGAGGAGGATGATTTGATGTTCACTCGTAATGGCGAAGACGAGGCAATGGCAATAGACACATATCTGAGATCTGAAAACATTGCCGCAAACTTTACCTAGCAATATTACACTTTTCTCAAAGATGGATTTAGAGCCATTAATAATGGGGCTCAAAACCGCATCGCATCTAGGACTTACCCAGTTATATGCCAACCAAGCCACCACTCGATTGGTTAGAGGGTTTGATCTTTGATGTTTGTTATCAGTGTTATTCCCATTAAAAAGGCCTTATAGGCGGGCAACAACAAGATCTTTGTTGTCCGACGACTGTGTGGAGCAATTGGGACAATGCCAAGATCAACATGATGGCAAATTTCATGAAATTTTTTTTTTGTTGTTGAAAAATTGTTGCTGCAAAGGTAAGCCAATAATCAGTGAAGGAGATTCACTCCTAGTCATCAATCAATATCCTATAAAATTAATATAATCGAACATACCTTGGAGATGTACATCCATGGCTTTCAAAATCGGATAGGACCGGATGATCGGATCGGAAAAATCGGGAATTGGTCAGGTGATTGGTTCTATTTTTCACGAAAATTAGATTTTTGTAAAAAACCGTTGATTTGGTCAACAAACCGTTGATCCGGGCAGTTGAATCATTCAAACTGTTCAACAATTTTGACCATTTTTTATTTTTTATAGTTTTTTGTCAGAACGCCGACCATTCAGTTTGAACAGTCAGACCGTTCAACCCGGGAACCAGACCCCTGACTGGTTCAGTCTCTGGGTCGGGTTTAAAAACCTTGTGCACATCCCCATCGGAGGATTGCAAGAGGATAGTGCAAAGGGAGTACATGATGCCGGACCTCTTATTCATACACTCATCGAAAAGGAAACGCAGCAGCTGACTGGTTGGCCGGTAAAATCTCATTTTACTAAAATAGCATCGACTAGCTACGCCTGGTTTCAGATTGTGCCATTTGGATTTAATTCTGGTTTGTAACTGTGGAAAAACATTCTGTTTTAGTTGCTTCTTTGAGCTGAATCTCATTAGAGCAGGTTGATTAGGTTTGCAAGCCCACGTTTGAAAGAGGTGATTTTTCCTACTAGATCCCACAACATGCCAAATGTCTTGAATAACACTTCAGGTGTTGCATGAAAGGTTGATCTTTCTGTTGATTGAGTCTATTGTAAGCTTCGAGTCCCCTTTAATGGTGATGCTGAATTAGTTCAAGTCAACAGCAGAGAACACAAGCTTCCTTTTCCGCCTGTGATTGTTTACTAAAGAATGCATCAATTGGAAGTAGATAATATATCTTATGTTAAAAATTAATTTCCATTTTTTATTGTGCATCAATTGGTAATAGATAATATATCTTATGTTAACAATTAATTTCTATTTGTTTTATTGTGCAATGTTTTCACAAAGGATGTAGACCTGTTCACACGTCAGGCTTCAGGCCCAACTTTAACTGTTTTGGGCTTCGGCTTTGGATCAGTACTATTCAAATTTTGCCGGAAGCCAAGCCCAAACCCGCCCTATGAACAAGTCTAAATGGATGAAACATTAAAAATAACAGAAGTTTGTAAATATACATTTTCATTTGAATTTTGAAACTGATTTAACATGGTTTTAAAAAATGACTTAAAAACGGAAGCATTCTAGCCACCAGTTTCTGGGTCGATGGGTCGATAGTTCAACTGTTCGGTTTGAACGAACGGGTTGTTCTGACAAAAAATTAAAATTAAAAATGGCCAAAACTGTTGAATGGGTCGACAATTTGATCACCTGGGTCAATGGGTCATTGACTGATTCAATAGTTTTTGGCTAGGGACCAGGTTTGGGGTAAAATGGAACCAGTTGCCTAGACGGTTTCTGGGCCAAACGGTCTGACCATCTGAGTCAACGACAGTTAAAAAACCATGTGATTTAATATAAATTTTGGAACTGATTTGATATGGTTTTAAAAAACAACCCGGAAATGGAACCGTTCTTGATGGAGCGCAATTCGGTCGGTCCTAACTGTCAACAATCTTGCCTCTGACTGGAGCAAAAGGTGCCTGAAACGGGGAAGAAAGCGAGTAGTCTCCGAGGAGGAACCCGGTGAGAGTACTCCAAAGCTCAAGTTAGTATTTTCTCAAAGGCAAGATAAAAAACCAGATGGCGCAAAGTTATCACGTACCTCCATTCTTGGGGGAAAGAGGGCCTTTTATAACCACTTTGCACACTCACTCCCAAGCTCCTGTCAGGTCGGGTATCATTACCTCTGCACTTCTACCAGTTCGGGTGTCATCACCTCTGCTGGGGCAGACAACCGCCATTGCTCTCTTTGTTGGAGTCGTCTCTGTAACTGGAGGTGGCGGTGGCAAGTGGCCGTTGAAGTGCGGCTGTCAAGCGTCAAATCCTAAGTCAGTCAGGCGCGCCGCCTCAGGATACAAATTCCTTTGGTGTCAGGTACGGTTGTTCAGTTCGGCGGCCTGGAGACGAAGTGCCGGAGTGGTGTGCGAGGTGAAGTCTTGAGTTTGGATGGAAGTGTGGCCTGAACTGCCCTGGGGTGGGCCAGTTCGGGTTGTTGCCCTTTGCGCTCCTCGTAAGGCTTGGGGTCAAAGGGAGAGTTCGGGCTCCTTTTGGGGAGCTCGGACCGCTGGTTCCTCCTCTCGGAGCTCATGCCTTGAGCGTACTGTCGTGCCGAGCTGTCGCTCCTGCCAGGTCACCCTCGGTTGCTTCCACGTGTTGGGTGGCCAAGAGGTCGGGCCAAATCTTCCTCCATTAATTGCCCCCCACTCCTTGTGCTAAGGGTCTTGCCCTAGCGCGGGGAGTTCACGAGCTAACGGGTGGATTTGACCCGTACTTCAAACCAGTTGACTGACGGCGTGAAGTGTGCGTACGTCAGGAGATTTCCGGATTCCTCGAGCGCCAAAAAGTCAGAAAACACGTCAATCCGTCTTTAAATGCTGGGAGACGTGACGGCGGGCGTTATTTCAAATTCAAAAAATGCGCCACTGCTGCCTTCAATGCTGGGAGACGTGTGTCGGCGCCACTTCGGTTTCCAAAGATGTGCGGCCAGTCACGTCTCGGTCTTAGGAGGAGTGCGGTCAGCTTGATCGTGAGCCATTGGATTTGCCTCGATCAGAGCCGTCGGTTTTCAGTCACTGTGGGTATAAATAGTGGGGGACCCCCAGTCGCTTTCCATCGCCATTCTCCTGCGTTCGCTTCTTGAGCTCGCGTCCAAGTTTTAGCTCGCGTCAACCTTCCGTAGTCCGTTAGCTTTTTCCGGGTGAGTCAGTACTTTTTCCTGGTTTTCCTTTCCTCCCAATGTCTAGCTCGGACAGCTTCTTGAGGGGGTCAGATGCAGGTTTCATGAATCGAGCTGCAACCCCTGACAGCCTTAGTGAGCCCGAGGTAGAGCTCGAGAGAGAGCTCGAGGAAGAGTTCGAACCCGTAGGCCGAGTCACCTCGGGTAGTTTGGCATCCTCCTCCCGTCGAGGTCGGACGTTAGACAAGTTCGGGTCCTCAACCATGACGCCTGAGGGGCTTTACTCCCTTATCACCTAGTTCAACCTGCCCGGGGAGTATACTTACTTTATACCCTCGGGCGACTTCCCTTGGGAACACGGTTCGGACGAGATCGTGATGTTCCGGGAGCAGCTCGTTGCCGGGCTACGCCTACCTTTCCACCCTCTTATCGTCGAGGTTATGAACCATTTCGGTGTCACCGTCGATCAGCTCCACCCAAACTCTATCCGCAATTTGGTTGGGACTATATTCCTCTTTTGCGAACACATTCTGCCTTTAGACATAGAGATCTTCTCTTCTATTCTCAT